TCTGATACCAAAAAAAAAAAGTAGAAAAATTAAAAAGTATTTTAAACTTACGTTCGGGACCATTCAAGTTTAAACACGGATCTTCATTATATCGAATCATATAGAGCCTAAAATATAATAATACAATGATAAATTTGGTAAAATTAAATAATAAAATTAAATTAAAAATATGTACTTATTCTCATATGGCTTAAGGTATGAAGAATCTGTAGAAATGTGTTCTTTGATACCTTTCACTTTAGCTGAAATCAAATAAAATAACTATGAAGAAGGAGTTGAGTAAGTATTAAGTACTGTTGTCTACCGTGAATTATATAGATAAAATGGTTTTCTGGGACCAGAAGACATGTTATTCTATTCAGTTCTAATATTAAAGTTAAGAAAAATGTCTCATACAAAAGTATTGATAAATAAATTAATTATAACAAAAGGCGTTAATTTTATTATTTCAAGGTTTTTTGTTATTTATTTTGTTTTTATATTATACATTTAATAAAATATGACTATAGATAGGTGTGCTATATTATTCATATTGTTGGTAGGTATTAGGTACATAAAAGTATCAAAAGTAATAAAGATTCAAAAGAGCCTCAGTTCAAAAGAAAAAAGAAAAAAGGTACACTATGCTTTAAGAGGACATCACACTCTCACACATGCAAAGATGGTAGTATTGTAACTACTACAGAAAGATAGAAACTGTTTAGAACATTTCACCACATTGTTTTTTGGTTCCACCGAAGAAGGCACCACACCTGCATGTGTTGTCTGTCTCAAGTGAAACAATTCAAATTTGAGTTTGGCAAAATGAATATTAGAATAAATTGCCTACTTCATATCAAACATAAGTGTAAGAATATTATTAGTGTTCTCTAGTTGGGTTTTGACTATATTTTAAGTTTTCAATGAGGTATAAGCAATTTTATATTTTTATATTTTACTTACTCATAACTAGCTTAAACATTAAAATATAATGAAAAACCAGAGACAGAACACTATATTATATTTGATAATAGTTCACTCTATTATTTAAGCCTACAATATAAAATTAGTTCTGCAAAACTAAGTGGAAACAAAAAAAATATATTGAGCAATGTGCTAAACCGTTACTGTAGTAAAATACTACAATCTTTATTTTAAATAAAATAATAAACATTTGCTTTTGTCAATGCCCATATTGGAGTTTATTTAGAATAATTATTTTATTTTAGTGGAATCCATAGATACTCTGTCCATGTCAGGTATATTAAGAAGTTTTAACACAATACATATATTTATACATAAAAAATATTTTAATAATATAATTTAGTTGTTAAAAAATGTAAGCAAAAATTAAATTGTTGTATTTTAACATATATTATTACATTTAAGCATGTTGTTAGCTCATTAGAGTGAATTTACCATCATCAAAATCAAAGTTAAGAAAATTAACCATGTTTGAATATTGATATTTTACAATATTCAAATTTTTAAGTAAGTTCTGAATATTTTTAAACTGTAATATTACACATGCTTAAAACTATTAAAATATTGTGAAAACTAATAATAACAAGGATAATGTTCTTATTTATAAATTTGACAATAAGTTAATTCATTATAATATTAAAGCTTACAACATGTACTGTGCCACTCTATTCTACATAATACACTACCATTGTTATAAATTGTTGTGAAAACTCACCGTATAAATTGCAAAGATTGACAAAAACAGTAGCGGTCAAATATGCATCATAACCAGCATCATGCAACTTAGATTCGTCCTCAGAGTAACCAACTTCAGGAACCTCTGGTTCTATAACACAAATAAATGTTTTACTAAAAAACAATTCAAATAAAGTAAGGTAAAAATTAGTTACCCAAGTCTGTATAATTTTGACATTGTTCTGATAGTGACTTTTTTAAATCGTTCAGTACGGTTGAACCAAAAAATCCTTTAAGTGGTTCCGTACCACTTATATATTTTGTATCCAAAAACCTTAACAAAAATTAATCTTACACAATAATTTTAATTTTAAAATATAATAATATTATTGGATAAGATATGACAAACCGATATGATATTGTTTTAACCATAGCTTGAAATTCACTATAGCTTGATGGCAATGGTAAACAAAACTGATGAATCATATGACAAACATCCAATGTCATGTTGTGACCAACAACTGGTTTATTCTTGAAACAAATAATATCAAATAAGTAAATAAAAATGACTACCATCTAGATAATATAAAATACATACAGAAGCTATAATTTTTTTCAAGACTGCTGAAAAACCAACAGCTTTCTCTAACTCAATCTGTTCCCGTTCCATCCTTTCATGTGCCATCAACAATCTTGTTCTTCCTTTGAAAGCTACCATCACATTACCAAAATCTTCTACTGTTCTTGACTGTAAACTTACTTTAGTATCTGAATACCTTTTATAAACTTCCTAAAAAATATTGCTAACATTAAAAAAGTATTGATCTATAAAAACTGGTTTAATATCAAAAATTGGCTTAATACTAATGTAAAATCACACATTGTAAGCTCAATAATAAATTTGCAAAGTTATTGAGGTTGAAAATAATATATCCTATACGTAGTCAAGTAATTATGAGCCATCACTCTTTGTATTTATATTTATATATTTTTTACGTACTACAAATTGATAATTTTTTTTATTTTATTTCACTGATAAATTATACTTTTTTTGCTTAATAAATAAATAATATTTTGTTCATAGTTTTTCGACAAAATATAAGTATTAATCACATGATTTTGTAAAATTTTCATTTTGCTTAATGTTATAACTAATAGTTTCAAACAATTATGAAAGATTAAGTGCATAATGTGCATGCAGACTGAACCACCAAATACTGTAGACATCCTAAACATTGCTAAGTGCTCTGTCACAGGTCGTAATCTTTGATAACTGACATGGTTTCAACTAACTGTTGTGCCGTGTTGGCCTATTATAACATTTGCCATTTATGGTGCAGATGAGTGAATAATACCAATTTTTGTCAGCCAAGCGGTTTAGTCTTAATATTATGCTGTCTATTATCACTTAAGTATTAATTATTGAATAATTTTTGTCTCAAATTAACTATTGAGTAGGTATCTGAATATAGTTATTTAGCATAAATAAGTAATAATCTAATGTATTTTTATATTTAATATTATTTAATTTATCAATTAACTAACCTGATAGATAAGTTTACGAACAAAAGAATTGGTTTTCTCTGCAATGATGACTTCAGAAACTGTTTCACTTTCTAAAAGTTCTTTTACTTTTTCACTGTCAACAAATGTTTTATCAAATTAATATAAGTAGTATGGCAAAATATACAAATTAAGTGCACAATTTTTATTAATACCTAATTATTTAAGTTCTAGTTTTAGGTTTCTAAACATAAAAACACCTTATATCTCAATGTACCCGTCTGTTTGTTACCCAGAACATAGTTACGATCGTTAATATTAAAAAATGTAATTATTGTCACAGTTAATGTACATAAATCGAGCATGTAATTATAGTTAATTACATTTTATTAAAATACAGAAACCGAGAGTTTTATACACTCACAGAATGAACTTTCCTAACTTGTTAATATTTTAATATATTTTTGATGCATAATTGAATAATACTTTAAAGTTGTAAAGGATAAACTAATCTATATTCTACTTATTACATAACTTTAAGATGCCGAATAAAAATAAATTTACCAAGCCGTTTCTATATCTGCTTTATGATTGTCTGGTATGGGAATACATTCAGAGACTTTTGATGGTGTCTGAGCCTGTAAACAATTTTGCTTATATCGATTAAGCAATTCATTTTGCAATACTTGTTCATCGGGCACAGTAAGGAAAGGAATACCTAGTATGATAAAAATTATTATTTTAACATAGAATATAATATTAAACTATTATAAATTACCATGTTTAAACAGTTTATTAAAGTCAAAATTGTGATTGCTAAGAAATTCCATGCTAGAAGACTGACAGAGAAATCGGCAATCTGGGGCATATCGACTCATGGGCTTTGGAAATGTATAAAAATTATACGCCCTGTATGTAAACCTGATGAAACACAGACAAATTATATTAAAACACGATCAAATATTCATAATCATCTGGTGATTTTATACTTTTTCTTTTCAGCATTATATTTGACAGCACACAAACCAAATTGAACCATCAAAAAGTCCATGCAATTACTTCTGAGTTTCTGGTAGTACTGAGCAGCCGTATCGAATATGCTAACCATAGTTCCATTGTGAAGACCGGTGAATTCTCCATCAATGGCAATGAAATCACACTCAGCAATGGCCTGTTCGATTTCCGGCAACAACTGATAGAAATCTAAACAAATACATGATTAACACAATTGAACGGAGTCTACAGACACACAGCAAAATATGTTCTACTCACTCTCATTGACCACATCCATATTTTGCGGACAACGTGTGGAACGTGGAATCAATTGAGATGCTTCTACTGACCAAATCAGGGAATCATTTAAGCGAAAAAAATGCAAAAACGTAAAATACACTCCAGTAGTCCAGTTTGATCTCGGACAAAAATTTCAATAAATATTAATAGTGTCGTACAGCTCCGTGGAGAAATTAGCAGAGATAATTAATTATCGATTAACGTCCAGAAAATATTTGGCTTTCGTAGTTCGTGCAGACGTAAAATAACAATTAATATCAAATAATTTGCAACAATAGTTTTGAAAGTGCAGTACCGCAACCGCACTAATTGTTTATTCATTTATTGCTGTTTGCTAATCAGTAATCACAAAATATGACATTATGTTTGCGGCGCTCGCTGTTGCATGTTAGGCAACTTACTTTCATCAAGAATCAATCGCACGTTATCTGTAAAATAATATTTTAATGTCTTATATGTGCGTTCACTTGATTAGGTTACTGCACGTGGCCGACAGTTGTAATTTGTGATAGCAAATAATATACTAATCTATATTCTATGTAGACATGTAAAGATCAAAGATGTAATCAGTATTCAGTAGTCACTATATAGTCGACCGGTCGCCAGTGTCTGCGACCGTTGGTTGTGTACTTGTGTCGGTATTTGCACTTTTGTGTTTTTTGAATTTTTTTATTCGTTTGTCATTTTGTTCTTTCTGATTTAATATATTCTGTGGTATCATCATGACAAAATGTATTAATATATACTTTGTCATTAATTATTGTCGCTTAGGAACCGGAATATTATGATTCGAAAACGTTAAACGACAAAATCCAGGAACATAAAAACGTTCGACGCTCAACACTTTCGAGTCTTGACGCTCGAGTTCTATTGTTCAAAGTCGGCTTTACGGACTTAAACGATTATTTAACACTTAGAGGCTGCTAGTCTAGTAGTGGCGATGGAACAACAAACTGATGTCGTGGACGCAAAGTTGCACGAAGGTACCTACGACCTGCCTACATACAACAAAATCGTTACCTATTTGTCTAATGAATTTCGGTGCTATTCAAACGATTTTAGGGGAGTTAGGGGAGGAGAAGGGAGAAGCCACTAACTTATTTTTCTGTAAAAATGAAATACATTAGGTTTTGTTACTTAAGTATATTTGTAATTTTTTAGTAATTGATTTGTATGTTTTAATCTTATATCAAAGATTTATTTTTGAAACCCAAAAGTTATAATGAATGAAAAATATTAGGGGTTTAATTTAGAACTAAAAGAGTGTAACATTTTTAATTGTATGGCAAAATATATGTACCCTATACCTATATAAATTAACCAAAGACTTAGGTGAAGAGTTTATTAAATTTTAGGGTAGGCTAAAATCTTCTTACTCAAAAGGAGCCTTTTGATTACAGTTATTAATATGTCATACACCATTTAAATAATTATCTTAATGTTGGGTTTAAAGGGGACTTTTTATTAGGAAATGTTAGGTACTAGTTTTTTTTTTATAATGATTTGGTAGGTAAGTTTTTAACTATTTTTTGATTGAAAAAAAATTGCTTGGAACCTTTTAAAGATTAAAGTATAATCTGTTAAAGGAAATACTTTTAGTCGAAATTTATCCAAAATTGTACACCTATTATAAACCTGTTGAATTCTTCTTAGAACTTAACAACGTTATTACCTATCATATTTATTTACTTAATTTATATTAATAAAATGAATTATTATATATCTAATTATAATATTAATAATATTTTTTTTCCTAGTTGTTAAACAGTCTCTAAAAGATGGTCCTAATTGGAACAACTTTGCATTAACAGTTGAAACAGAAATAAGAAAAATCTTAAAAGAAAAACGTGTAATCAATAGTACTACAGAAAAGAAACCTGAACAATCTGAAACAATTGAGTTGATTAACAAGCTCATATCTGAATACATGGATTGGATGGGATACAAATTGACAAACTCAATGTTTAAGAAAGGTACATGTAAAAAAAAAATACTAACTCTAATGAGAGTATATAATTAATGTACATTTTATTATTTCAAGAATTGGGAACCGAGTTAAAGACAAATGGTTATCGGAAGCAGATGACTTCATTATTATGCCTTGAAGACAGCGATGAAACATTAAAACTGTAAGTGTTGGGTATCTAATGACTATTGCCTATTACATGGGTATTGACTGTTGATCATTGGGTACCTAATAATAGTGCCTATAATATCTAATTTCTAATATCATGTTCATTGTTCAATAATTTTTATTTTTTGTTTCAGGCCTCTTCTTACAGTGTTAATAACAATGTTTAAGAATAAAGACGGAGACAATAAAAAACCTTTAGATATTTGAGGCATAACCTTCCATTTAAACCAAATACTTTTATATTACTTATGTATTATACATCTCTGTAAATTATTGTAATCTTTAGTTATACGATATAATTTAATGTAAAGATTAATATTTTACAACTGTTCTGTTGTAACAAATATAACTGCTAAGCAATAAAAAAAAAGATAATGTTTTTATTGAGTAGGTAACAAACAATTCCAAACTTGGTTACCTTAGCGATTTAAGTGTGATCAATAATACCTACGGCTCCTGGTATAGGACCACATCATTCCTCCGGTGTTCTGGTAAAGTCTGTGAATGCACCGTACTCTGTATTGTAACACCTACCTATAGGCTATTGATAATTTTATAACAATATAATATACCACTCGTTACAATGCCAGGTGAAGTGTCGCAAAGTTTTGAACCTAAAACCGAAAACTACCATGGTAACGAGATAGTGACTGTCAAGTTCCATACGGATGCAAACGAAACACTGACACAGGCATTCGACCTGAATACCAACATTGGTGCTCTCAGGTCACACCTGCAGCGGACACTGAACACTGACCCACACCGGATCGTCATCGAACGCGAAGAAGCGGAGGGATTAGTTTCACGTCTGGAACATGACGGGCAGACACTCAAGGATCTTGGGGCTACATCTTTGGGCATTTTTGAACTACGCTTGCGGGGCGACGGCATACAGCTTCCCAAACCGCCTGCGTACTACTTGCCAGCGGTGGACGTCATCACAGTGGACGTTAACCACAGGCGACTCGTGGTGGAAATCGAACGGTGTGGCAGGGTGGACGGCCATAAGCGTTGGCTGGGCGGGTACCGGGACAGGCTTACCGGCAAGACGTATTTCCACGCGACCGCACAGACCGATCCCAGGGCTGTCGCGACCGACGCGCCCGCTGTCCAACGGGTGGACTGCCGTACGCAGACTTGCATCGACAGGGCGGTGGGCCGGGCGACGAGCCGACCGGTGTGGACGCAGACCGACAGCGACGACTACAGCGATAGGTTCGGTTACACGGATGGCAGGTGGGTGATACCGAAGCGTTACCACAGTTACGAGTCGTGGTTACGGGAAGATCACGTTCTGAGCAGCGTGCTCAAGATACAGCGAGCTTTCAGGAGAACTTTGGCGGCACGCGAGAGACGGCGCTTAGCAGCCGAAGCTGAAGCGAAAACCGATGACGAGGAACGGCGGCTGCTACGGCAGAGGCAGTCGCGCAGCATGACGTCGGGACCGGACGGCGGTGCCGCGACATCGGCTCTTGAATCCAAGCAGCAGCACTTCTATTCGCTGTACACGATGATCGGAAAGTGGTGGAAGAAGGAGCGGCAGCGAATCAAGGAGATCGAGGCGGAAAACTCAAGGAAGGCGGCGCAGATGAACCTGCTCAAGAAGGAGATCAAGTTCCTGTTGGAGGTGGAGAAACAGCGGTCAGAGCTCAAGTACGAGCTGACCAAGCACGACGACGTGACGTTCTTGAACAAGACGTCCAAGCCGAAGATGTTCAAGAACAAAGCGGGCAAGCTGCTGACCGTGGACACGGTGGGCAACCAGAAGGCCCGGGCACTAAAGGAGATCTATTCGAAAATCGTGATACCGTGCGACGGCGTGAACCGAGCCGAAGCGCTCGACGAGCTGCATGCAGCGGTGTCCGAGTCGTGTTACAAGTACAAGGAACACTTGCTGGCGGCCGTGGTTATGGAAAAGGGTCTGGCCGAAATGGGTGCGGATGCGGACAGCTTGCGGTCGGCGCGATCCCGGGTGGAACAGATGTTCCGGCACTACATCCGGCAGCCGGATGTGAACCCGGAAGCGGACTCTTACTATCGGCCTACCGAGAAGCGCGTACTCAACGTGTACACGTGCATCCGGTGCAAACGCAACTTGGCGGCCACCGACTTCTCGCTGGAGAGCCGCGTGAACCGGACCAACGTGTGCGCCAACTGCGAGTGGACCGAACAGGTGGGACATAAGCGCATCGACATGGCGCCGTACCGGCGCATGTTGAAGGCGCTACGGCACGACGAGATGCAGAAGGCAGCGTACGGGTCCGAGTGTTTCTTGATGCAGCCCACCGAGGTGTACCGGCTGGTGTCCGTCGTGTGGCGCGAGAAGTCGGCTGTCGGCGAGTCGGGTCAACTCAACGGGCTCCGGCTGGTCCGATGGCGTCGTCAAGAGCCCTGGTCGCCGTGGAACTGCGTGCTACTGACCAGGGCCGAAGCGGAGGCCCATTCCCAGCTGGACGGCGACCCAGCCGACTGCTACAACGAACAGTTCGTCCGGTCCGTCATCAACAGGCACCTGATGGCCCGATTGCAATTCAGCAATTTAGTGCAGGCTGTCGACCACCGGACCGCCGACAAGGTGAAACAGCTGTCGAAACATTGGAAAACCGTCGCCGACCGTTTTAACATCAAGACGCAAAAATAGAGTTCGCGTCGAGGTTGGACCGTAACATTTTTTAAGTAAAATCGAAGCTTTTGAAATTTTGGTAAACTCGTTATGTATAGGTAGGGAGCAGACGTTTTATTTAATTAACACCATCGCATTCGCATACGAATAGGTAGGTAGCATATAAAATATCACATAAATAGGCTATCACAGAGATTTAAATTCTTTAAAATATTTTTATTTGGTTACCTAGTTGATAAGAGACAACATATAGAATTGTAGAGGATATCTCTATAGACGAATTGAGTTAGCCGTTAGGTGATTGAGTTTAAGAAGGCTTGATGGGTTGATGGGGGTTTGGGTATAGCCGTATAGGTGGATATTCAGTTTTTACTTGGAGGGGCTTAACAAAGATATATCATATTTAAATAAAAGCTCTGCCCCCCTACACCACCCGTTTTAACATCTTTTAAATATATAACTTTATGTACCCAGACCCAGTACATTATATTTATCATTTTTTTTCTAGGTAGGTTTATATTATATTATAATTTATAATAAAAGATTTCAAATTTATTTAAAAAAACACTATTATCGATTACCTATCCGGCTTTCCACTATATTCCAGACAAGTTAAAATGTTATCAATACCTAATGCATTGTTTTTACTAATATTTTTTAATGCTATTATTAAACCTAGGTATATTATGTTTTGTGGCTTATGCGAGCGAACCCGATATCTATCACTAGTTTATATCAATTAAAATACAAATTTGGAGTGACTAAGAGCCTTCAAATCCCCCCCCCCCAAATTACGCCAATGGGTTTAGTAAGTGCTTGAAGGTTTGTGTGGCTCAGTGTACATGGAATTTTTATAATAGTGGATAGTCGTCAATAGGCTAGTGTTTATATGTTTAAATTTTTGAATCATTGTGGAGGGAGTTGTTACAAACGCACCAGTTATATTAAACGTATTAAGTATTGGAGAATAGAAGTATATTATTACTTATTAGTATAATAATATTGAATTTTTATACTGTACTTCTTAGAATTGAACAGTTAACTACCACACGACTTAGCCGGTCGAATAATGTTTGTTAATATTATTAATAATAATAATAATAATAATAATAATACATACCTATGTCTATTTTGAAAATAAAGAAACATAATAAGTAACATAAATTATTTTAACCGTTAAGGTACATACCTACAACATACTAACCTAAATCATATGACATATACATTATACATATTTTTTGACAATAAGATATACCTAACTCATCACTAAGTAAAATACAAATTTATAATTTATACATTAGTTTGCAAAAATTACTAGACTTGAGGATAAGTGAAATCGAAATGTTAGATCTACCTGTAGGGTATAATAGATTCTAGGAAAAAACCTCGAAAACAAATCTCTTTAAAGAAAATTCTCAATGCATCTACTTAGTGCATAGTTAGTATTGATATTATAAGACAGCGCCCTATACTATAGTACCAACTACCATTAATGCCTAAATAAAGAAAAAAATAATAACCTGTCCATTGTATTCGACAAAGTTAGCGCCCCTTGCGGAAATTGTTGGATACAGCTGTTAAAATAATAATAAATAGAATTAAAAATATTACCACAGAATAGATTAAAAAAATTAAATATATATATATTTATATATTAAAAATATAATCTATTCTGTGATATTACATTATAAATTTATAGTATCTTAGTCAGACATTCAGCTATACCAAAGTTACTCAGTTCGTTTGCAGATAAAATTTTAAAAAAAACATTTAGGAATTTATATACTTTTAGCCAATATAGGTAATATACCTAGGTATTATTCGCAAGCGAACTGAGTAACTTTTTTTTGTAACTGACTGACTGACTATTGATATTGTAATTTTATGTTAATTTTTATAATTATTTTAATAAATTAATTCCGTTACTTAATTTAAGTAAATAGGTAATGCGCTAATTTTGTTTTTATTAATGTTATTATAACTTTTCTACACAATGGTTTTAGTTTTTCCATCTGTTGTTTATACTATACCTAGATATAAATCAGATAGTTTCCCAAATCCTGAACAGTTACCCCAATTATAACTGACCATGTGAGAAGCAGGGATTACCCAATAGTCCACACACTTGTTAGTTGCCGCGATTGCCCTTACCCTTTATTGATTGTCCTTGCAAGGGAGTCTGGTAGGAATTTCGTAATAATACAGCATGCATTATATTTGCAAATATCTGTGTCAGAAACTGTTTTTAATCCTGTTGTGACATCTGAAACCAATGTTAAGGATATCCCCTGTACGTTTGGGTAAAGTAACTACGAACAATAATGAATAAATATAAATCTCGATTCCCCTGTAAATAGATTTTTCGACAAAACGAGCTTAGCGACTGGCAAAAATGAAGGTACTTCTATAGACTACCATGGTTTAATTTTAAAAATGTAATGATTTTTGATTTTATAAAGAAGTTAATTCCATCGGTCGAAGCATATTTCAATATTTTTAATAGTTTTTAATAATTAAATACGAAAAATTGATAACGTTTAAAATAATTATTCCCGTCAAGAATTTACTAAAATTGAAAAAGTGCTCCAACAGAGGAATCGTGTTACTGCATTCAAGTATCTCACACTTTTTAAAAATTAGCACTTTGGAAGTGCTTAAATTTTTGTCAGGCATAAAGGTATTTTAAGTTCATAAATTGATTTTGAATATTTTGATCTAATAACTAAATAACATGAGTGTGCACGTGGGTGATTGGTGTGGAGTATACAATATATATAATTATGTACTAATGATCATTTACTACACACACGACGAGCGGAAACCGCAAAGAATTGCCACACATTAGGCTCAAGCAGCTTACATCGTTTTTTATGCATTTGAGATGAGCAGCAAAGTTGCAATTGTGCACATTGCATGGTGTCATGGTTGGTGATAAAAATAAAGTAACTAACAATAATTCATTGTTTCTAAAATTGTATCAAGTTTTTTGAAATTATTTTTTAAAACAATTAAGTAGGAAACATAACTTATTAACATTTTCAAATATCTAGTTAGGTACCTAACCTAACATATTATTATATATATATATATTTTTTGTTATAAGTATTATTAATATTACATTTAGTAATAATTTATTACTTAAGTTATAGAAATATTATTATAGATACCTCCCTATTTTATTTGTTCTTATAGGTCTATGGAATTAGTAGTCGTCAATTGATAGTAGATAAACCTAGTATCATGATCTTCTAAGGTCGTGCCTAGTAGTTTCATTGCTAAATATCTATTAATTTATTAATTAGTATTTTATCAACAATACTTAATGCTAGTTCTAAAAAAACTAGGTTAATAATATTTATTTATTTTGTAAATCATAAAGAATACATTGCATGTTAGCAAATGTACAACCAATAAATATATCAACACTAAAAATAACAGATTATAACAAATTGAAAAGCAGAAAGAATTCCTCAATTTCAAAAGCTTCATTATGACAAAGCGTTCTAGTTCTTGTTGTAAGATATAGTCAACTAAATAATATTATTTTAGTTTAGTATGTGATGTCACTGTTTTTCGGCTAAACAGTAGTCTCTATCACATTTATTTCTAACCCAAGTCATACATAATGTTATTACCTATTTTAATTGATTGAGCACACCTCATTCTAATTTTCTGTACTTTATATTTTTAAACTAAAACTTATTTTTTCAGTGGATTAAAAGCTTATTCTTACAAATGGATGGTTAACCATCATTGTACTGCTTTATTGTAGGTCACAAATATTCACATTACATTTAATATTTTTCACAGCTAATAACAAAAATCAAAAATTTCAAGTTTTTACATTGTAAAAGGACAATTAGGGTATATAAAAATAAAACATATTCTATAAAAAATTTATACATTTCTTCTTTTTTTGCAATAACAAAAAAAACACAATAAAATTTGTTTTTTTTACAAAACATATAAGTCTTTTTTCTTTTACCAATGTCACACTTTTATTGTTCTTTCACACTAGTCATTGGGAATCGATTAGTGTTTGGTTTATAACTAAGGCACTGATTTACATTACACATTATTATTTTTTTTTGTTACCTTTGGACTAAAATCCAGTCTTAAGGTATTTTAAAAACAATTAACAATTACAAATTTATTATACAAGTCATTTGTTCCTTAAACTAGGCACTTAATAAAAAATATAATAAATTAATTAAATATTGTTCAATCAGTCGATAAGTCTAAGGCTAGCCATAACTTTGCCCTTCCATAACGGCAACATCTGATTGTCGTCAGTGATTTCTTCTTGGATGCCGGTTGATGGAGATTCATCAAATTCAGTAGTAAAGAAATACCTGTGTTATAAAAATCACATGTTATAGATTAGCTGTTAATGGTTTTTTTTTTTTTTGTTTCATTTATAACAATATGTGCTTAAAATTTAGTTTTATACAAATGTTGAGAATAAATGAAATTTTAGAAAAAAATGTCTAAAATTATAAAAACTGTTACCTGTAATGTCCTTTCTTTGGCATACATTCAATAAACTGTTTTAATGTGATTGGATGTCCAGCTATTCTCTTCCTGAATGGGAATTCTTCATCGTTGAAATTGTACACAACAGTAGTGGTAGTTGGGGGTGCTGTGATTGCACTAGACATTGACGGTGTAGCTGATTCTTCTGCGGGTAGTCCACGGCCAGATGATGAAGAAGAAGTCCTAAACATTATTGACATTAAAATATACAAACAATATATTCAATTTTTAATGTAAAATACTAAATAGTCAATGTAATGTGTGATGGATTTAAAATTATTCTAAATGACAGCATTTTTCACTAACAGTTATTAAAAAATTAATAGTATACCTCTGTTTGTGATTCTTCTTCGTCATTTGGTCGTTGAGCCTACGCCCAGCTTCTATCAACTGATTGTCTGTATTGGGGAAAGGTGGTGGTGGCATATTGGGGTCAGCAACAAATGGCTGCTTAGGCATGTGATTTGTCCAGGAGCCACTACTACCACAATCTACGTTACCGCAATCTAAAAAACAAATACATATTGTAAAATGTAAGAACAATGGTTGATGAAAAAAAAAACTAAAAAATTAATAACATACCGTGGGAAGAGGCTTTAGCAGTCGTGGTATTAGCGGACGCAGTACACCAGCTAAAAGCTGGACCTGAGTCGGCAAGTGCATCACCAGCACACATTGGACTTTCTTGAAGCCATACCATACAACGATTGGTCGACCTGCTATTATAGGAATATAACAAATTAGTTATTTTTTTCTCCTTCAATGAATAATGAATAAACAATACTAATGTACACAGATTGATTAAAATTAAATTTAAATATAAAATTAAAATAAACTTACTCCTCTCTTGTTTTGTTGACATTGGTAGGCAATTGCGATTGTCCTGATACAACACTGATTCCACTGTCAGTCATTGTACGCCGGCTACCCCAAGTGTGACGTCCTAAACCTAATCATTAAATTGAATATATCAGTATTTTTTAATTTGATTATATTTCAATGTATGCATACTTGAAACTCTGAGCTCTGGATTTGGAACAAAATTTTGATAATCTGGTATAGATCGACTCTTTGGCACATGGCGGCCCGGTTCAGAACTGTCCGCTGTAAAGTCAGTGTAATTGCCACTATCGTACCCAGATGCTCGATTATCCTGATAATAATATTTATAAGTTCGTATAATATACATATATATATACTATAATATTGTAAGAGCAAGTGCAAAATAAACAAACTTTGTCTCTGCGTTTGGACAAATTAGGATTAGCTGCTGCTAAATAAGTACTGGCAAATTGCTGAACAGGTCGGTTGACTTTGCCTGAACCTTGTCGCCTGTGTAACGATTGTTCAGGTGATTTAGGAGGCGATTTAAAGTATTTTTGTACATGTTGATCTAAACGCATAATAAATGGAAGTTAGAAAAATAGATAATAAGAACAAACAAGGATGTATACTGTCTCAAATAAGAGTAATCTCAGGCAGTGACCAATGTTTACCTGGTCCGTCAGACCATACCATCGATTAAATTGGTTTTCATTTACTTTTGCTGTTAGCTTTCATTTCTGACAATCAGCTATGGCCAAAAAAATGCTTATCGTGTTAATCTTAGCAAAATTCAAGCTAAGCGGTTAATATAATAATAAAGTGGTTCTTGTGAGAGCACAAACTTGATGTGTGTTGGCCACACTCATTGACATTGCCTTTTGCAGCAGCCGGATAACCTGAGGTTACTCTAATTTGATATAAAGTATAGGTATGCATTGTAGAACGATGTAGTAATAAAAAAATTACACAAGGTAGTTAATTATTGTGTTTAGTTAATCATAAACATTGGTTTTGTTGATTTAGATGTTAGTACAATATTTTTGTGATTAGTATATTTCTTTATTATTACATGCAATGTTAACATTTGATTCATTAAACACACCTAATATTTCATCGTCACTGCCATCAGGTAATTTTAAAGATGCTCTAAACATTTCGTCTAACATTTTGGGATCATCAATTTTGCCAGATTCGCTGTCGAATTTAAGCTGAAATTTAAAAATATATGTATAAGCCAGTTTAATACAGTATACAAAAAAAATTTTATTC